TGTAGCATTGATAATAATTTGATAGCAAATATTCATTCATTAGTTAGCTAGGCCGCGTATTTTGTTGTACTCACCATCATGCCCCAAGTTGAACACACCTAAGGTGTTTTTGATTAGACAGTTATAGCATAGCTGCGTGTGATTTGTAACGTTTTCTGCATAGTCTACATCCTTCTGATGAAGCATTAGCATTTTTTGGCTGAAAAAGTTGCATGCTCCCAGACCCACCCACCCTACCATTAGCATGTTTTGCAGAATATGTGTTGGTTTTCATCTCACAAATTAGAGCCCCGCTTTCAAACATTCTGCGTACGGGACTGCTGTTAAAACCAGTCAAAGCTATATCACTGATCTGAGTTCAAGTAGTACTAAAACATTGACCAGAGTTATTACAAATAGTCTTTCCAAAAACTCTACAACTTGCATAAAATAATCTTTAAACTTAAGCTTATTAGGAATACTAAGTTTTAAGCCACGAATTATTTTTTTTCTGTTCATCATTCAAAACATACTTAGAAAAATTAAATATCACATTATCAAGATCTTCCAAAAATGAATTATGACCTAACTATCGCCTTAAACTTTTTAGCTTAACATTATGTTTTTTTAATTTTATTTACGGTAAAACTAGTTTATTTGAATAATACATGAATTAAAACATGTGAATTATTATGTGGTATAATAGCGAATTAAAATTTTCATTTTATGTTTAAGTACAATTTCTAACAACAATAAACTAAACCTACCTATGTGCCACACAATGCAATATTAGTTTCAACAGACACCCGACTGTCGAGTAACGGATCTCCTCAGTTGTATAATGTGTAATATATCCGCACAATGAAAAAACAAGTCGCTAAAACATGCTACAAATATTTAATTGAGATACCAATTGGTAATTATTCTATTCTCTTGACAGATAGTATTTTTGTTATATTTAAAGCCATACCACTCTTATTCAAAACAACAACAGATTCAGAGGTATGGAGCCAGAAGAACGACACTCTCTAATCAACTTATTAGGATCCACAAAATACATTTTTATTAGAAATATTACACCGTTGTAGTGGTATTATTCATTGTAAAACACACACATATACACACATATATGTATGTATATATATATATATATATATATGTAAGTGTAATGATTTAGCAGTATCTTGCAATGGTGATTTAAAAACGTTAAAAAAAAATCACTGATTGTTTTCTTTACCCTATGATACGTGTTTATTATTTGATCTGGTGTAGTATCATCACTAATTTAGCCATGTAAATCGAAAGTAACTATTTCTTTGCTGATAATTAAAAAATACTTCTTAATAAAAATTTAGAAACAATAATTTTATACATATGATAGATAAAATTAACTAGCTCCTCAAAATAACCAGGACATTTTAACACAAAAAAGATACATTACAATGAAAATTTGAACAAAAATAGACCTGGCTGCCTGTAAGATATTAGTGTTCACTTACATCGAAAATAAAAAGGTACTTTATACTCAAAAGTTAAAAAAAAAACCGCCAGGCTTTATAACAGGCCACAATTTATTGAGTGGGGCAGTATTGGTATTCTATTAGTATATTTTTGTATTTATATAAATATATATAAATATAATAGTGCTGTCTGTTGTATGTCCATATATCTACTTCGCAGGGTGTGGATTGATCTTCACCCAAATTGGTATGGAGGTTCATTAGGTCCACGAGGAGATACATACAAATTTTCAGTTTTGCATTTTGCGGTTCTTATGGGCGTTTTTGCAGTTTTTACCACTACTTCGCTCTCTGTTGCCCCCCCCCCAGTGGCATAGCGGTATGTCTGCGGACTTACAACGCTATAATCCGGGTTTCGATACCTGTGGTGGGCAGAGCACAGATAGCCCATTGTATAGCTTTGTACTTAATTACAAACAAAGGCTCTCTGTTGATGGATCTTCAACATGCGGTTTTACATTTTGTGTTTTGCAGTGTTTATGGCCATTTTTTACAATTACATATAAGAGAAGCATCTTTTCATGTCCTAAGATAACCATTCATTAATCATGAATTTAATTAACTTCCGTCCAGGAGACGGGTACTCCAGCTAGTATAAAATACATTAACATATTCTGTCTCTACTGTATCTAGATAATTGAAAAAGGAAAAAAAAATATGCAGGTACTAAACGCAGGTATTGAAAACACAGTTACTTTACAGCCCAGAGAAGCACAGTTTTACTTAAACACAAATAAAACAATACGAAAAGTTTGTATACATTAACGTTTTTGAAAAAGTTCATGTTAAAACTTTTACCAAGTCATCAAAAGCTAATATAAGGTTTATACTCACGTTATAATAGGAAAACAAATACTTCTTATTGCTCAGGAATGTATTTCATTTGAGAATATACCAATATCAAATGAAAGAGTTTGTATTTTTAACATGAATAGCCCCTTAAGTGGCATATGGAATAAACCCCGAGGCCATAGACCCCTAAGGTCATCTGAAGTTTTAATGACCAAAGTGTAGGCAACCACTTAGAAGCACCCGCCACTATATAACTACTTTTAATCAAACAGTATGGGATTAACAGTCAAGTTTTAATTTTCATAGCACAACGTAAGGGTGATAAAGTATTGGTGCAAGATATTTTTTAACAATATTTGATGTATTCGTAATATTTATTATACATTTTGCTGTCCATTAATTTCCGTACGATTTATGTCAATCGTTTATGACATATCAGGTATAATGGAGTATAATATAAGGTTCTAAGCATAATGCATTAATTAGTAATGGGTATTATCTCAGTAAGACTATTAAAGAAGTTATTCATATCATTCGTTAGTTCTTACTGGAAGCAAGTACTGGGTCAACAATGAATAAGCTGAATAAAATTATTATAATGTTACTGTAAAGGGTTCAAGGTTCGAAACGTGGTACCTCTGAATATGCACTGCACTCTCAGCTGAGAGTACATTATAACAGTGACAGTTAATCCAATTATCCAGTTAAAAGAGCCAGAATACGCCTTTGGTCGGTGGGCGCTGCTGGATAGTTGTCAGTAATTCGTTGAAACCAGAGTTCAGTGCCGACTCCAATGTGTTATCTCTGCACAGGATGGATTTCACTTAATTATTCCTGAACCATAGGGATTTCGGCTTGGTTACTTAGTCCACGCGCGTATAAGATATTGTTCATTTAGATTGAATATTTAAATTCTAGTCTTACTGTAACAGCAAAGCATACCTATAACCCGTTAAGGAAGCATCATAATTATTGAAATGTAAATTATCATTTTAACTCCATATAAGCTAGAAATGTTTTAAGAATAATGGGCTGTTTCTACACGTTATTTTCAATAATATCTAGGTATATATAAAAGCCACTCTCTGTTCATAACGCTCGCTTTTGTTGGTAACGCTCACTTTAGTAATGTTCAAATTGTCTCAAGCAAAACTCTCGCATTCGAATTCCAGTCCAATGTGGATTATTTATAACTTTTTAATTATCAGCTCATCATGTTTAGAACAAGATCTTACAATATTCGAAACAAAACAGATTAACATGATAGTTTGAATTAGTGATTTGAATTATTTAATATTCGATTATACAGCGTGGGTATCGCAACGGTTATAGCGTTCGACTATTATGTAGAAGTCTCGCGTTCAAATCTCAGTCGAATTGTTATTTTAAATTTTTTAATTAATATATATTTTTTAATATCATCATATTTACAGCACACTCTTTGAATATTCGGAAATGGATTAACGAATGGATTAACGAGATTCCCACTGTCCCTATCTACTATCTAGCGAAACCACAGCCAAGGGAATGGGCTTATATTACATATAAACAACAGTGTCTGTCTTTAACAAACACAACTTCCATATATTTTCAACCCAATAAATTAGCACACAGGATCACATACAAAAGTTGAAATGATTTTCAAACGAGACCCAAAACTCGAGCGCTTTCGAATAGTTCATTATTCTTCTTCTTTATGCTCCTGAAGAAGATAGCGCCAGAATACATTATTATTTATGTTTTCACCCTAGGTAAGAGATTTTTACAAATTTAGTCAAAATTTTATAGGCATTTTTTATGAAAGGTTATACCTTTGTGTATTTGTCTTTCATCCTCAAATTCTTTGCCTTTGCAATCACAATTAATAAATCGCAGGTTCAAACATTTGATCGTGTGGGAATATTTCTCGAGAACCAATTTTTTCGCACGGAGCAATCTATAATGCTTTATTAATAAGGAGATTTGAGCATAACATAAAAATATACATAACTCAAAATTATAATCAAGGACAGCTTACAGGAAAAGACCAAATACTCACAAAAAAACTGTTTTCGTGAAATACTAGAAAAAGGATAAACATTCTTTATACATACATTGTTAGTATAATATAATTAATTTTTAGAAAACATGTTCATAAAACATTTGGCCCGGCATGGCCTGGTGGTTAGGGCGCTCGACTCGCAATCTCAGAGTCGCGGGTACGAATCCCACTTCCCTCTCAGCCGTTGGGGTGTTATAATGTAACCGTCAATCCCACTATTCGTTGGTAAAAGAGTAGCCCAAGAGTTAGCGGTGGGTGGTTATGACTACCTGCCTTCCCTCTAGTTTTACACTGCTAAATTAGGGACGGTTAGCGCAGATAGCCCTCGTGTAGGTTTGTGCGAAGTTCAAAAATAAACAAACTATCATAAAACATTTAGTTACATTTAATTTTCGGAAGAAATATTAATTAGCATTTACCGTCATATGATAGGCATTTAGCTAGTTAACCTAATAATTATGTGTAATTACATGTTAAGGGTAATTGTAAGTTTGATAGTGTTGGTTGTCATTTGTATATATCTTAGTTCCTTTGTTACTAAGGGAGTAAATAATTTTCCCCTCTTCTCAGATACGTAATTATTGTCTTGACTTCTTTATACCGTGATTTTCACTATCATTATACATTTAAAAAATGCTCAACAATTATGAAATTTTCAATTTCCGTAGTTACTTGTTACCAGACAAGTCCAAGAAGTCAAAACAAAAGACGCCTGTCCTTAAAAAAACCTGCCATCCCGAGTGGAACTGTACCTTAGTCTACAAAAACCTTACCTTAGATGATCTCAAGGACAGATGCCTCGAGCTTACTATTTGGGATCACGACAAAATAACTAGTAATGACTTCTTGGGAGGCACTAGACTGAGCCTTGGAACTGGTAAGCAATGTTTGACCAAAATGAAAAAGTGTACTATCTTGGAAATTTATTTTTTAAAGCAAACCGTTATCTAACACCAGAAGGCAGAAAAAGACAGAAAAGTGTATAACTAAAATGATTTAAGTTGTTTACTTTTACGGTTACAGTACATATATGACATTGAGAAGTTTTAAATAACACAAGTGTTCTTTATTTATAAGAGAGGACATTTATAAGAAAGGAACTAACACCAAAAAATCTTCTAGACGATAAAATTCTATGAGAAATCCCAGATATTTTCTCACTATTGAGGAAAAGTCGCCAAATTCTATTGAAAAATCTCAATAAGGAAAATGTACTTGTTCAATTCAGTACAATAGCTCAAAATTAAGTACGACAAAGCGTGAAACATAGGGGTCTCTGACCAGCCTCTTTAGTTCGCTGTGTGAACAAGTGTCGTGTCTTCTTTCTTCAACTCTCCACCAGTGCTATTTAGTTTCATCGTGGCAGAATTTACATAGCTTACCTCTGTGACTCTTGAATATTCTTCATTAATACAGATATTTAGTACAACGGTATAACATTGGTTTAATGTCCGTCTTACCTACTTAAACATTGTTATTCATTCAACTATATAGCTTTTGGGTCTTTAGAAATCTTACAGCAAAATCTATAACACTCTGTATTATAAACAACCCAGTCCAAAACCAGAATTCACTTCAGTTTACAGTAACACAATTACTGTTGGCAGTTCTACAAATCAAATGTAGAAACATTTGTATTAAATAATACATTTACTCCAACAGGATAATCTTATATTAATATCCACAAATCAAGAGTCAAACGAAAATATCTAAAATTTCGAATGGTCCTTGCCTCACTGTTGAAATGGAGCATCCAGAGAGTCAAGCCCAAGTTTCCACTTGAAATATTTCTATGCTACTCATCCAAAGTCAACCCACAATCTCAGTGAACCATCTTATTACCAGTTGCATTTACTTCTAATGACGATGAAAGGATTAAAATTGAAACTTCGACTAAAATAAGAAAATACAGTGTAACTCTTTTCCTATATACGTGAGTTCTCTAGATATTTTTACTTGCTAGCCACAAAAATGATCTTAACTCTCCGTAGTAAATGTAATTCATTCACAATGGAGTTACATTTGAAAGTCATGGGTGTTTTTGTTTAGAATATTTTTACTCATTCATCAGTAGAATATTTCTTTTGCCTCTGAAGAAATCTATGCAGAGAAGTAAATATCTTCACCCAAGTGACTGGACATTTAGATGTTGTTTAGTCATTACCAGAGCATTGTATTCGCTTTGTGAGAACCCCCATGGTTTGTTTTGAATTTCGCGCTAGCCGTCTCTAATTTAGCAGTAAAAGACTAGAGGGAAGGCAACTAGTCATCACCACCCACCGCCAACTCTTGGGCTACTCTTTTACCAACGAATAGTGGGATTGACCGTCACAGTATAACACTCCCACGGTTGAAAGGGCGAGCATGTTTGGTTGGACGGGGATTCGTACCTTCGACCCTCAGATTGCGAGTGAAGTGCTCTAACCCCGTGGTAAAGAAGTTTAACACAGAAGACTGAAATAGAGATGCAACGAGACCTTCTCGACCGATTGAGTTTCTAACATTTTTCTCATTAATATCACCAAGACATTTGACGTGTACCTGTGGAACTCAAAAATCTGAAAAATAAAAAAAAATAATAATATCCCGTAAAAACGTCCGTAAAAGGGTCTAAAATTCTGTGGAAAGTTTAAAGTTAATTATTTACCAACGATATGTGTTGCCAAAGCATTTTGTGTATTATTGATCATCATATATTTTATTCACCTCTTGAAGATTATGAATAAGAAAGAAATTTAACCATAAATTTGGAATTAAATGGAAAGTGCTAATCAACCCACACCTCATTATAGAATTTACTTCCAAGTCAGCATTTGTTTTTGTTTTGTTTTTTACCCAACTGGGTCATCTGGGAAGACATTCCAGTAATGGAGTATTTTGTTTTCCATATCATTTACCGATAATGTTTTTTTAATCCAAGAGAAACCACCAGAATTATCGATTTTTTTATTTCTTATTAAATGTTCTCGGCTTATCTAAATATAATATTTACGACTACGTCAAAATATAATTTCCTTACACTTCATTCTATTGCAAAAGTATTAATTTGGATGTTAACCTGTATTTTTATCATATTGATAAAATGTATTCATTTAATGCAATATAACATATTTTCTCTGTAATAAGTATTATAAATAAATAATACATTAGTAATCAGATATTATATAAACTTAAACATTTACCGGCTTTTATTCATATTCAGGTAAATTTCTTGGCCGTCCAGTAGACTGGATGGATTCTCAATGTGAAGAAATTAGCTTGTGGAGAGTGATGCTACAACAACCTGGTTTGTGGGTTGAAAGGTCACTACCTCTTCGGTCAACTATGATGAGTGGGAAGTTCTGATGGAAATATTTCAATGACTAAATACCCTTCAGTGATTATACTAAGATGTTGGAGAAATTGCTGTTATTTTTGTAGAACATGCGTGTGACCATGGAATTACTTTTTAAACAATAATAGAAAATATACACATTGATCATTTGGATAATGAGTTTCTTCTGTTTCTCGTGTTGAATAGTCGACTCTTTCAATAACAGATTGATGTTTTAGCACTTGATGAAATACTAGTTTTTTTGTTTGCTTTTAATATAAGACTTTCTCTCATAATTTTTGACAAAGAGAGTACATGGTAAAAAGATAGATGAGCATAAATCTGTATAGCTTTACACAGACTTTGTTAGAAAATATTTTCTGTGAAATGTGATTGAATTATATTTTTCACAGACGTACTTTTCATACCAAAACCCATAACTACTCAGTAGTGCAACATAAAAGTAATAGTAAGAAATATTGGAAATTAGAAATCAATTTACAAACTTTTTATTATCAAAGCTAAAAGTAAAATATCACTTTGAAGTTTAGTTTTAGGATATTTCAATTAGTTGTTTTTATTTGTATGTATGAGTTTGATAAATAGTTTTTTCAAGGACTTCAAACCTACATTCAATAAAGGAAAACATTACATGCAATACTTTTTTTTATAAATTTAATGTTTTCGTAATGTGTTTTGTGGCACTTGAGCAAGTTGATAATAAAACTTTCTAGTGTATAGTGTCTTTCTGCAATACTGTGTACACATAAAGTCGTGGTTAGGTAACTATACTTATCTATTGTGTTTCATAATGAAAACAGTTTAGTTTTCGAAACTTTTAATCACCATGTACGTCTTTAAAGAACTTTACCAGCTACGTACTAGAGGGAACTGGTGGAAGGAAAACAATTAGCAAAATCGTAGTTTAAGTAAAGTGAAAGCATTTACTGTAAAGCCCCATTCATTAAATAATGCACAATTATTCTACACCGAGTGTTGAATTTGTTAGTATAGTCCTGTATGCTTTTCACTAGGAAGAGGTGTAAAAAAGCTGTGTTGTAAACTGTATATTAAGCTTCGGGGCAAACTAATGTGCAAATATTTAGCCTAACTTGACAATACTTTTTATATTGATTCTGGTAAACAAGTATCATTTCGAAATAACTCTACCTTTATGTATAAAATTTATTATCAAAATGACATCTTTATTTGTTTGATTGTTTGTAGCTAAGTGCAAAGTTACACAATGGGATGTCTGTGCTCTACCCATCATGAGTATCGAAACAAAGTTTTTACTGTTATAAGGCTACAGACGTACTGCTGTGCCACTGGGGAGTTTGACACAATAACTACCTTTATATGACATTACTTATAAAACTGATGCTCTGACAGACATAATGACTTCAGTTATATGACATTACTTATAGAACTGATGCGCTGACAGACATAATCACTTCCTTTATATGACATGCCTTATCAAAGTGATTCTCTGACAGATGTAACGACTACCTTAAATGACAATAATTTAAAAACTTAGGTGCTAACAGACGTAATGACCACCTTTATATGGCATTACGTATCAAACTGATGCACTGACAAGGATAATGGCTACCCTTATATGACATTACTTATCAAACTGGTGCACTGACAAGGATAATGGCTACACTTATATGACGTTACTTGTCAAACTGATGTTCTGACAGACAGAATGACTGCATTTATATGATCTTATTTTTTAAACCGATGCTTTGAAAAACGTGGAGGATGTCGAAACAATTTAGATGTAGAGTACGCTTTTAAAGTGGAAGACGTTTACGGCTTCAATAAAGTTTTTGAAATTGTATAAATATAAAACATTGATTTTAATTATTTATTAAATTATAATGGCTACCCTTATAGGAAATTAGTTATTATACTTATGTTATGACATACATAATGACTACATTTCTATGACACTACTTATAAAACTGACATTTTGACAGGCATAACATTTACCCTTGCATGACATTATTTATCAAACTGATGAGCTGACATACATAATGACTACTCTTATATGACATTAGTTATGAAACAGATGTGTTGTCTGACATGACCTCCTTTATATGACATTAGTTATTAAACTGATGTGTTGTCTGACATGACCCTCTTTATATGACATTACTTATAATCTAATGTGCTGACAGTCATAATGACTATTTTTATATGATATTGCTTGTCTAACTGATGCTCTGACAGACATAATGAATACATTTATATAATATTATTCATGAAAATGATACACTGAGAGACAAAATAGCTTCCCATATATGATCTTACTTATCACACTTACGTGCAGACAGACCTTATAGCTACCCCTATTTATCATTACTTGTCAAGTTCATGCTTTAACGCACATTGTGACTATCTTTCTATGATATTGCTTATCAAACTGGTGTGCTCAGAGGAATAACGACTACAATTTTATGATATTACTTATCAAACTGATAAGTAATAATTAACTTTATAGGACATAACTTATGAAATTAATACTCTGACTGGCATAATTATTATTTTTATACCACTTCTAAAAATGATGTGCTGACAGCCCTAATAGGTACCTTCATATCACATTAGTTATCAAACTGATGTGCTCACAGACATGATGACTACCTTTTATAACATTACTTATACAAATTGATGCTCTTAAAGTCATAATGATTACCCTTATATGACATTACTTTTAAATCTGGTGTGCTGACAGACGTAATGACTATTATTATACGAGTTTACTTAATCAAACTAATATGCTGACAGGCATAACGAATGCTCTTATATGACACTACCCGGCTTCGCTCTGGTTATTAGGTTGATATTGTCACGACAACGCAGGTCACATGACGCTAGTAACACGTCATTGACTTCTAGAAATATCCTGTTCCTTCATGAATGCTCTAGCGTTTACTAGATATGTGTTATTCTTCTATATATAAGACGGTCACAAAGTGACGGCAACAATGTGTGTAATTAAACTGAGTATTATTGAGTCGAGCACGTGAGACGTTCGTTGAGAATTATAGCGTTTGTTATAGCGCGACTGTTGAAATTAAGTGTATTGCAAAGTTGTATTCAGAAAGAATAAACCAGTTTTATTTAAGAAAGGACTTGTGTCGCTAAACTTTCGTCGGAACGAATTTACGAAAAATTAACTAACGAACGGAGACGTAACAAATTGGTGACAGAGAGTGGGACAAAAAAAATGGAAACGAGAAGCGGCAAATCAAACTACAGCTTAGCAGACTTGATGGCAGCAAAAGAAACAAGAAGATCGAGAAAATAAACAAGAAGAGAGATTACAGCAGTGGTTGGAGGAAAAAGAAAAGAAACAAGAAGAACGAGAAAAGAAACAAGAAGAGAGACAACAACAGTGGCAAGAAAACCTGCAACAGTGGCAGCTCGAACAACAAAATAAACAAGAGAGATTACAGCATTCTTGGAGGAAAAAGAAAAGAAACAAGAAGAGAGACAACAGCAGTGGCAAGAAGTACAAATGGAAAACATTAGTAAATTTAAAAGCGAATTAGATACATTAAAGGATGATCTATTGTCTTTTACACAAGGAGGATACGTTAACCATCGAGTTAATCAGCCCAGACAATGGCAAGCCCCTTCCAGACCCCGCAGCTAAACCCGAATGCAGACATCTTCAGTCCTGTTAGAAGTCACTTCCCAGATATGAATGTCAGTAATAGGAGTGATTCAGTAAGAAGGAAGCCACAGGAATAGGATGGGAAAGCACCGTGGGAAGCATATTGAGCACAATTTGAGCTACTGGCAGAAATGAATAGATGGACAGAGGAGTAGAAAGCAGTATATCTGGCAACGAGCTTGAAAGGACAACCACTGTAAATACTTGGACAGTTGTCAGCAGACGACAGGCACAACTATAGAGCACTGATAGCAGCTTTAGAACTCAGGTATGGAACCCAAAATCAGTCGAAAGTCTACAGAGCTAGGTTTAGGACGAGAGTCCGTGCTAAAGAGGAGAGCCTGCAAGAGCTGGCACAGACCTTGGAAAGCATGGCACACAAGGCCTACCCAACTGCACCACCCGATCTCCTCAAGTTGTTGCTGAGGGATCAATTCGTAGATGCCTTGGACAGTCCACAACTGAAGTTAAGTGAAGCAAGTACACCCCTCTACCATGCAGTATGCAATGGCCAGAGCTCTCGAATTCGAATGCTACGTTAAGCCCAGCACAGATGTACCAAGGTCAGTACAGTCA